GCGCGTCACGAAAGGCATTTCCAACAAACTAAAGATCTTTATCAACAACTGGCTACTCTGGCTTGTTACTGAAGCCCAGATGGTCAGAATAATAGTAATAAGCAACAAGTAACTCTGGCTGGCTGACAACGATCTAACCAAGAACCTATCGCTGATCAAACATGCGGTAGAAGGAAGTGGAGGTGGATTGGGAATGCACTGAGAAGATCATTTGGGAGCATCACGCGCCATGCCAGGTTCTCGAGTGGAACGCAGTTGAGAAGCGACGAGTTGTGCACTCCAGGGTGGCATACAGGAGATGGGGTGAGTAAGAATTGAGAGCTTTTCGGCTGTCCTGGAACCAGGTTCAAAAGATTGCAGAGAAGATATTAAAATGGAGACGTGCCAATGAAGCCCTATGTTCTACTAGGAAATCGAGGGACATAATAATAATTATAAATCATTTGCTGATAATTCTGTTGTTAATAACTATAATACAACAATTTATTTCAAAAGTTTAAGGGGTGATGAACATTTTGAGGTATGTAGGTATTGTATTCAACATCAGACATCAAATAAACTCTATAACATTGCATCTAGCAAAGTTTCCGTTTCAAACACTCCTTTCTCAATTAGATGTTTGACTAAAATATTATCTATAAAGATTTTCCTATTCTTCACCTACATCCGATGTATTTCATCTTAGAGAACATTGGAGTTACAGCTGAAACTAGGAAGCAGTATGCTTTCCTATAGAATTGAAGGTTTCATTTTGAATCAGGAGGACTTTGAAACTATTGGTTTACTCAACCAGTTTTCACTTATGAAAGCATCATAGGATATTAATAAGAAAAAGAGATGAATGATGTTTAAATCCATGATTTTATGTTGAGCCCACTAAAGCCAGTCAAAGACATAATGTCTCCCATTAATTGTAATAAAAGGTGAATTCACCTGATGATAATTCTTAAGGACTGAGTTTTGAAAAGATTAGTGAATTAAGTCATAAGAACTGATGGGATAATACACTTGAAAGTATTTTATGTCTAAGATGACTGTTTCTGGTAAAGTCAATCACCGTGTATCTAGTCAATCGAATAAAAATCAGTATGCATACTATAAAAAGACATCTCCCTTTCGAACAAATAATTGAAAAAAATTTTGGTATCGGGATGAAAAGAAAAAAATTAAAGTTGACATAATATGAATCAGTATTAGGATGAAGTTATTGTTCATTTAAAAAATACATAAAACCATATCTCGGAAACCAGTGATCAACTAGAACTTCAAATATTCTTGAATTTCGTTGTTTGGTAACTTCATTTTGTCTAGTTCTAAGTGCTGATCAAATTCTGTCGATTATTTTACGATGTGGCCAACAGGCTAGGTGACTAAACATTGCGATGCACTCTGATAGATGTCATCTGCATTTAAGTGTGAGGCAGGAAGCCTTGGACTTTGTCTTCGCTCTTTTTGGCACTCGTCAATAAGGTATATCTGCAACTTCTACAGGACTGGTGTTCCACCTTAGTGACACAGGTTCGAATTTCAAGCAGGACATTACTACTAAAGAGGTTCCAGATACAACTTACAGTTAAGTGCTTAAAAACTACAAAATCTAGGTCAAGGGTTTCCTGTTCAAGGATTCCACTCAACTAAGACTTTATTTCAGTTTTGGTGTTAACTTTTTATAAAGTGAGGATATACCAACACTAGAAATTGTTGACGTACTTGTTAATTTTTGAAGTTTTTAAGTTTGTCCATCTCAGCGAATACATAGTAAATTTTGAAAATCTGTCTCCTTTTGATATCCCTAAAATACGTGTTCCAAGTACGACCAAACCATTCGAAAAAACTAAGTTCAAGACGTCTAATTGTAGCTGTTACATTAACAATTCAAAGATTCAAACCATCATTATGGTTTGAAAAGAGGTATGTACAATCTCCTCTGCCATGAAAATCGTAGAAGATAGAACCTTCTAGTTAACTACATTCTCTTTTGTAATCGACCTGCTTATTTCTCCACATAGAACACTTGTAAACACGACGTAACTTCTTGCTGTCACACCATTTATTTTGAACTTTGACCGGAAATAACTCTGGAATACTTAAACCTTTCTAAAATGTATTCACGGGTGTACACCTACGTGAAGGGGTTTTTTAAGAGGAAAATATTTTCTTTCCTGAAACTTTGTTCTCTCCTCTCTCTCTGTTACAATCTGTCAGTTGTAAGATAGTTTATTTTCACTAAAAATAACTTTCACACATCTGAAACATAATTTTTATGAATTTCATTTTCAGTAAATAGTTTTCAACATGAAATTACAAGTAGACGACGATTGAAATGTTTGACTTTACTAGTTAGTAATACATTTTGATACTGAGTGATGATTGAATTGAAATAAAAAATTTGGTCAGCAGCTGAACTTAGTAGCTCAGTTGATAAAACATCAGGCAGGAAACTTGATGGCGACTGATTTGAATCTGGCCAATGATTTCGCCCGACTACTGTGTAAATTTATGCGATGGTTTCGATCGAATCAAAAACAATACTGATCAGTACTATTCTACCAACCCATGGCTATCTCAGATAGCCAAAATAATAATAATACATTTTGTTATTATCGAAATGAAAATACTTTCTAATTGATCATCAGTTTGATAGTCTTAGTAAGATAGAAAACAACAAACATTTTATTAATTGTTCACTAAATCTTTCATCAACGCACTAATTTCAAAGTTAAATTAAAATTTACGAATATGCTTATTTACATCAAATTTAGAGTAAAGTAAGATTGTAAATTTGCAAATGATTAATAAATATGACGATCTACGTTGATAATTCTCACAGTTGAGTAATTAGTCATCCACTCATTTAAGGTGTCGCTAGGGTTTCTGTTGAAAACCTCTCATCAAAGATAACAGTTGGACAGTTGAAAAAGTACACCGCTGTAAAAAAATGTCAGCATTGAAGGTGAGATTTATAAGTCATTTATAAATGGATCATTCTGTTTCAGGTATGCCAGTCCATGTAAGTCAACTAACCGCATAAATTTAGATGTTCTGAACTAATTTGAGTCTGTGAGATGAATTCGTTCAACTGATGAAATCAAGAGACCAATCTAAGTGGTTCTTGACTTCACAAGTTTTTCAGTAGTAGTAAATTTAGGATAAATTCATAAGGTTTAGTAGCTTAACTCGAGGTAATATCGTCTTTTCATAAATGTGAAATTGAATTAGTTATGAACTGAGTTTATGCTTTCATCAGATACAGAGAAAATGTTCAAATTCTTATCGTAGTGAGTCTTATCTCCTGCTGAAATATATCAGGAACTTGCAAAATACCCTAACCTACAGCATACCTAGTCGTGGATTGATAATACTGATCTGAATGTTTTTGCTAATCAGTTAGTTTTCAGCTAAATTTGAAAAAAAATGGTCTCTGACGAGTCTTGCCGAGAATAAGCAAAGCACTCCTCTCCTATCTACAGCATCTTTGCCAACGAGACCTATCAACAAATGCGAATAGTGTATAGCTGCTCATGTTGTTAAGTGGTATATTTCGTAACAGCGACAACTTAGGTAATAAAGCTGACAACCAATCAAATCAGTTTTAATGTTGCCAGGTTTCACTGCATGACACATGATTTCTAAGAGTTGAAAGTGACTGAATAATTGTAGTATTTTGAACCTTTTTTTATCAATAAACGAACAATTTACGCCTTTTTTGAAATTTACGTTAATTGGAAAATATTGAGTTTTCGTCTAAATGTTGTCAGGAAGCTATCAACTATTCATCTGAGTAATTAAAAGGGGATTCGCTAATTTCTATCTTAATTCATATTCTCATGTTGATTAACAAGAATTGAAAAGTTTGGTTTCTAGTGTCGTTTAAATAAAGCCTTCGATTGTATGTACTGTTTTTCAATCCGCTTACGGAAGGCCTTAAAATATTGTTACTTTTTTATCAGGGACATGTAAAGCTTCGAAAACAATAAGGTTGGTTGTTATATAGATGAACACAAAAGCCTTCTTAATTATTATGTAACACATGCTCCCCATCTCTTAGTCAAGTACATTTAGATTGCGATGAGAATTTCTTACTGGGCAGCCAGTGTGAGCATGATCATGAGGTAGCAAAGTATCACAAATTAACATAGCAGTCGTGCAAAACTCTTATTGATTGAAGTGAAATAAAAAACCGGTCAGCAATTGGACCTTGTAGCTCAGGCGGTAGAGCAGTAAGTCAGAAGCCAGGTAGTCGCTGGTTGGAAACCCACTGTGACCCTGTTATTACCCAGTACAAATAGGAAATATCACAGAAAACCCTTAACCCATATTACCCTTCAGTCACATTCTAGCTAGATTTATTCTACTTGAAAATTGATATTTATAGATAAATCAGATATTTTACCAGCTGAAAAATATGATTGATCAATATTGTAAAAATGCATTGACCTTGTACCTGAAAAGTGATGGTAAGATTCAATCAGTTAGGGGTAGTTTGATGAACATTCTTTTGGTTTATACCCGGTTGGGTACCTTTTACACGTTGAGATATTTTTATTTAACAGTAGCTTGACGCAACTGATGACTGATCAAATACTAAGTTAGTTAGGATACAGGAAATAACATACTATCTTAAAACATGAAACATACTACTCAAACTTGGATAATTAGTAGCCTACACATTTCTTGCTTTTGGCTAGTGGTAGAATCTAAGACATATGTTTCTTTTTATTTAAAACCCAATAGCTGAACATGGATGCACCTTAGTTAGTGATAGTATTCCACATGAGATGCATGTATATCTAACTGACTTGTTTTAGCATTCTGCTGTTAGTCATCACAAATGAATTACATCATCATGAATCTTTGGGTAACATCAAGGCTTCTACATGGCAGCATAAATTACAACACGGACTGATCAGTTCGACTAAGCATAACAATCAAGCGAAAATACAATTATTATTAAATGATAAATAAACAGTTTATTAATAATATGAAAATAGGAAACATACCTTCCGTTTAGCTCTAGTCAACTTTTGATCTCTTGCACTGTCACGTTCACCTGGAGTTTGTAATCGATTCACTCTAATGCCTATAGCTGCATAAGTTCCACAAATCACACCTAATGGCAAGAAGTACTGTAAAATCAGTAAAACAACAGTGTAGACAACATCAATTTGCATATTTGTAGTATGACTAAATAGTGTAATTGATAGTTCATTTTTAATTTGTCCAAGATTTGTTAAATTATTTCCAGTTGTGGATTTCACTGATGATAATAAAAGACTCCAGTCTTCTACACAAAATGTTTCATTATCACGTTTCACTGTCTTATTTACAATAGGTACAGGTAACGGGATGATCAATGCTAAAATCCAAACACCAACTAGTAGGCAAACAGCTTTACAATGCGACATTCTCGGACGTAGTGGGAAGAAGACAAGGACAAATCTATCCCATGAAATAAGAACATGTGTCAATGCACTGACAAAAACGCTTACACCTTGTGCATAAGGAACAATTTTGCACAAAGGTTCACCAAGTGGCCACCAAAGGTATACAATTTCAGTTACAACATTCATAGGTATGCATAAAACAGCCATTAAAATATCTGCCAAACTTAGATTGAACAAGAATAAACTAGTAATACTTGTAGTACGCATTCCACTACCTCTTGAATAAACATTTGTACGCAATTTCCGCTTTGTCCTTTCACTAAATACTGGACCAATATTATTTGTTATTGTTATACTCCCTGCATAATTCCCTGCACCTTCTTTTTGTAACTTCTGTGGCGATTTAAATACTAAATAACGATGCGTATTCTGTACAATACATGTTTTTCCACAACTACATTCATGCTGGCTACTTGGACATTCGTCAACCCATGGATCAATGTTATTATTATTATTATTGTGATGAAAGGATCTTAATAATGTCGCTTTCTTACTCTGTCTTAATAATGTCCGCAGGCATTTAAAAGTGGTACAATAACGAAATCGGAGTAAAATGCAGACAACTGTATTACCGATAACGGCTAGAATAATAACAGCTGCAAACATGATGACAAGAAATGTTACTTCTCCTTTTGTAAATGGTAAGTGATTAGATTCATCTATTGGACCATTAGTTAGCTCATCCATAACATCACAAAAATGATGGAAAGAAAGTAATTTTGCTGAATAGGCTTATTTGGTTACTTTATATTGTTACACAAGACTAAAGAAATACTACTTTAAAACTATGAGGGAAAATTAAAGACCAATAGTATTCTGACATTTCCCTTATCTTTGATTGGTTAATTTGGTTAACGCATTCTCGTCAGTTTAACCAATTGTGATTATTGCGATACCACTTCATTCAATTTGACAATTTAAATGCATGATTATTTATTAATACTTGTAATTATACGTTATTATACTAGATGGAATTGTTCGACCTCTGTTAGCAAATGCACTCCTATGCGGAAGCTTCATTAAAATCTGAATATTTATTGTATTAATTGACGTGGCTGCAGTTAGCAGTGGTCTCCAAGACGTCTGTTTTGACGGATTTTGGACTTGTAAACTGGATCTCCCTGCAAATAACTCAGTGATGTTGTTCGTTCTGACACTTGAAACTAAAATTTAGATACTTGACTCCAAAAAATGTACAGCAACTTAAAAACGGAGTAGCTAAACAAATTACATGGACTACTCAGTCACAAAGAATGGGGTCACTTGACACAAGTTAAAAAATCGGAAAAAATAAGCCGATTAAACATTACAGATGCCCCAAGTATAACAATTCCAACAAGCAAATAATAGTTTGAATGACTCCTCTTGCCTCATATAAGAAAATATAATGTCCAAAATAACCAAAATGGTTTTAATTATAATTGAAATGATGCATGGAATGCCATGAACCATAATGTCCCTGAGAGAAAAAATTCGAATTAGCAGTGAATTGTTAGAGGTACTCATGGGGGAAACGACAATCATAATGACGAAATGAAACTACCAAGTGAAGAAGCAAAAGTAAGTGAAGATTGACAGGTGTTTATTGAAGAATCCAAAGATTATTTGTGCGAACTGTCCCAGTTCTGAGGCTCAGATATAATAGCAATACTTAATGTGAATCGCCATTTTCATCGAGAAAAGACTATTCGGCTAGTCGGCTTCCTGAAAGTTTTCACCAAACGGCGTCATTTCGTCTTCCCAATTCCAGCGAGGAATAAGTTTATTTCCATTTTTATGTTTTCTTGATGCGTCGAAGTTCATGAGAGATACGATCAATTTCCCGAGGTAGGGTTGCTAGCCCTATGCTCAACCTTCCCTCTTTATCAAGGTCAAGGACCGACTTGTAAACAGTGAACTAATCAGATAAGCATTTGAAGTGAAGATAGAAGTAGGATAAAATTGCCTACTGTCGCTGATGATCTTACTAATTGTGCTCGAGCGGATAATGTAAAAAAATATTCGGAGCCAGGAAAGGCACATACACTGGCTGGACCAATGAAAAAAGGGTAGACTATTTTGAATTCGCTGATGACTTTTCATATCCAATGTCGCACATGCTCGAAGATCTAAAAGCAAGAACTAACAAGTTGACAGAAAAGACAGAGAAGATGGAACTACAGGTAAACATAGAAAACACCGAGGTGATGAAGATACACAACCACCACCAACAACAACAAACACCAATCACTACCAACCGGAGAAATCTAAACGAATGTGTCTCTATCACCTGCCCTCCCAGGAAGCGTCGTCTCAACTACAGGTGGCGGCGGCACCACAGACATGGATGTCAAGGCCACGATCGGAAAGACAGCAAGACACATCTTCATTAGCCTGAAAACAGTGTGGAGATCCACTGCACTCAGCATAAAGCGTGAACAACTTCCGGATTTTCAACGCTAATGTCAGTCAAGCCAGTGCTTCTATATGACTCAGAAACTTGGTGCGTCACGAAAAGTAATTCTAACAAACTACAGACACGCATCATCAACAACTGCCGCCTACACTCACTCGATGCTGACACTGAAGATCAGATGGCCAGAATAATGAGAATAAGCAACAAGGAACTCCGGTCTGACAATGAATCAACGGAGAACCCACCGCCCAACAAATTTGCAGAAGGAAGCGGAGATGGATTGGGCATACACTGAGAAGACCGATTGGGAACATCACTCGCCAGGCCGTTGAGTGGAATTCGAAGGGGAAACGACGAGTTGGGCATCTGAATCGTGAGTGACATGGAGGAGATCGTGTGAGGACGAGATGAAAGGTGGTGATCAGTGTTGGAGCCAGGTTGAAAAGACTGCAGAGAAGAGAGTGAAATGGTGACGTGCTACTGAAGCCCTATATTTGATTTTAAACATTGTTTCTCGTTGCAGATATCATATTCATTTGTATTTATTTATAAGTCACTTTGCATGATGACAGGGATAGGAGAAATTCACTTATTTACCCAGACACAACAACACTCAGAAGTGTAGCGAACATTAATGTTGTCGAAATTGTATGAGCATTAACCTCTACGATACTGAATTTTCCATTTCCTAAATGTTTACACTTGTTCCCTGGATCCTTATCGACATCACATGGAGTAAATTGGGAAATTTAGGCAGTAGTTATAAACGATTTACAAAGCATGAAAATGAAGAGACAATCTCGATGAGGATTTTTAGCAAGAAATCAAGGCGTTTGTCCAAAATATTTTCTTATAACATGCTATGATACCAATTGTGAAATGTCAGACCTCAGATTCTTACGTCTTTCCAGGTTGCAGATATAAATATCATTATCCAAACAGGCAAGATACTGCACCATTCAGATTATCCAACATTATGTACTTCTGATATATTCTGAATTATGAAATAGGTGAGAAGTTCAGAAGTCAATACAAAGACAGTACCTTCTTCAGCACAGTTTGAGTGTGAACAGAGGGAGCTGAACTAATGTCATTTTGGAAAAGTTTTACAAATAACCAAGATCTGTGCTTCAATACTTTACCATACAACCTGAAATCTGTGTGAAAGTTGAAACAGATCATCTGTTTACGAGAATAGATTTCACGATGGTGATGTTTAGCAAGAATGCAACATTCACATGTTTTTACGACAGGTGTGTCTGCCTGAAACACAAGGGAAGTTGTGGAGTATTAAGCTAATTGGCATATTTTGCACTGCTGATTACACATTGTTTTTCGTTTTAGTTTGCAGCTCAACACATATCTGACAGTCAGTCGTATTTATTGACAGTTTGCATAAACTTATTCTGTTGCATTGGGTGTGATGATATGCACTTGGTTTTATTTAAATGAAACCTGGTTTATTTTGAAATGTGACGTCAAGTTTCCGCTCGAATATTATGTAAATGCAACATATATTTGAGATACAACATCTGCCAATTACTGCATATATATTTGTGTCTGTGGATACTGTTTGTCCAAAAATATTCTGAACGATGATGGTTATATAATTGAAGTTATCTTTCTGGATATTCTGATTAGCCGATTTTCAAGCATAGTCGGAAAAATTGGTCTAAAATACTAATTATTTACCAAAAGTATTAGAATCAAAAGTGCTGTTTCCATAACGTAGCCAATATATCACAAATCTATTGGAGATTACCAAATTATTCATTTTAGTTTCCACAAACTTATTTCACGCTGTTTGATGCTCTACACTACTGTTTTCAAATGATTGACAACAATGATAAGGGTAACTTTGAATTGAAGGTTTTACATGCTGAACTATTCAGTCTGTTTCTTGTTTGTGTCGCACTAATTTGTGAATAAAAATTTTGCTTTGAGAATCCAGACGTATCATAGATACTGTGATCATATAGTTTTGGGTTAAGATAGGTTTTTCGACGCGGGGTTTGACTAACCGCTATTTTTCCTCCATTTTAGGATATATTTTCAATGATTATTATGAGATAAGAAGACAGCATTGCAACTTGATAACTCGGTAGAGATGTTTTAAATTAACAGAATTGTTTACTTTAATACAGCCTAGTAGGTAAGATATATCACCTGGCATTAAAGCTTTTATCTCAAGTGTATATGAACCGTTGAAAGATATATCTTGTTGAAGAATTTTACCGTCACAAGTAGAAAACGAGTAGAATGATGATAATACATTGAGATAAATGGGGGTATTTGAGATTGGCAAAAGAAAAAATATAGAATATAGGAGGAATAAGTGCAATGCTTGCGAAAAACGTGAACCGGATATAACAGTAAAACACCAAAATTCGTTGTCATAGAATCTCAGATGGAGATACAGAACTGGAGGCGGAGATGAAAGAGAAATATCTTGTTGCCAATAGGTTGCAGATACCTTGACACAGTGACTAATAGTTGAACTGTAACCGATGGATAGGATAGAATAAATCCTGTAATCAGGATAGTTACAGTGAAAAAAAGCTTTTCGAAGTTTTCTTGACATGGTTTCACATCAAAACAGCTGCTACACGAACTACACAGAATATTAAAATAAAAGGTTTTCCTTACCACAGATTACACCATCATTATAATCATTATTTGACGTTTGAGTTACTAGTGGGACATAGGGTTTCAGTAACATGTCACCACTTCACTCTCTTCTCTGCAGTCTTTTCAACCTGGCTCCAACACTGATCACCACCTTTCATCTCGTCCTCACACGATCTCCTCCATGTCACTCACGATTCAGATGCCCAACTCGTCGTTTCCCCTTCGAATTCCACTCAACGGCCTGGCGAGTGATGTTCCCAATCGGTCTTCTCAGTGTATGCCCAATCCATCTCCGCTTCCTTCTGCAAATTTGTTGGGCGGTGGGTTCTCCGTTGATTCATTGTCAGACCGGAGTTCCTTGTTGCTTATTCTCATTATTCTGGCCATCTGATCTTCAGTGTCAGCATCGAGTGAGTGTAGGCGGCAGTTGTTGATGATGCGTGTCTGTAGTTTGTTAGAATTACTTTTCGTGACGCACCAAGTTTCTGAGTCATATAGAAGCACTGGCTTGACTGACATTAGCGTTGAAAATCCGGAAGTTGTTCACGCTTTATGCTGAGTGCAGTGGATCTCCACACTGTTTTCAGGCTAATGAAGATGTGTCTTGCTGTCTTTCCGATCGTGGCCTTGACATCCATGTCTGTGGTGCCGCCGCCACCTGTAGTTGAGACGACGCTTCCTGGGAGGGCAGGTGATAGAGACACATTCGTTTAGATTTCTCCGGTTGGTAGTGATTGGTGTTTGTTGTTGTTGGTGGT